CCCCTCCTTTGGACAACAGCTCTCAGATTGTCAGATCGTCAGACGCCTTCTTACATGGTCTCTTGTCGCCACGAGGCAGTGTAGCCATCTCTTTCCTGCGCTCTTTCGACAACATTGCGGGCGGCTGTTCACCAACAAACGCAATTTACAAGTAATCTCTACTACTTAGATATGCCTCGGAAATTCGGGTTTTGTCTGCGTCAGCGATTTGGAGCTTCAAAGTCATATTATAATTTGAAAGGTTAATGAAATCTTGTTCTATTATGCGGTCAAAAATTCGTGGCGCAACTTATTGTCAAATATTTCTTCAATTATTGAACATAAACTATCCAGCTTTTGCACAGTGACTTTTGTCAATTTGTCTTAACAGGTGAATATTTTATCACACTCCTGCACACTGTAGTTTAGAAAATTCCTGAATAAATACTAATAAAAAATCCATGGGTGGTCTTTACAGATTTGTAAATGCTTACAGCTGGGGCAATATTGCTTTAATAGCAAGTCCGTCAGGTTTTTCTAATCGGGACATTATGCTTATTGAACGCATGTATTGAGAGCCTAACGTGCAAAAACTGTGTTCACTGTCAAAATTAATGATTTCTATAGTGCGGTTAAAAATTCATGATGCAACTTATCCTCAAATATCTCTTTAACGGGAGACTCAATGTCATTCATACTTTGCACAGAAGTTTGTATTAATTTGTCTTAACTAAATCATATTTTTCTTGAACAATTGGGGCTAGATTATAAAACATTTCTTCATAAATTTATATAAAATACTTGAAATCTCTGTCACACGTAAAATGGTATTGCTCACAGCACTTCCCCCTTCTCACACATATTTTGATATGCATATAGCCTGCGTAACAGCTCATCAAAGACAATTTTTACTTGCAAAACTTGTTACAAAAAATTGTTGTTATAGTGAACTCATTTTTACAGTAATGGCTCTATAAAATGCGTTCAATAAGCATAATGTCCCGATTAGAAAAAAAAACTGACGGAGCTATTAAAAGCTATCCCCAACTGTTAAGATTGAAACATCTGTAGAAACCACCCACTTGGATTTTTTAATTAGTATTTATTAAGGAATTTTCTAGAATACAGCTTGCAGGTGTTTACAGAAATGTTGATCTGTTAAGACAAATTGATACAAGTCACTGTGCAAAAATTGGAGAACCTGTGTCGGACAGTTGAGATATTTGAAAGTAAGTCGTCCCACGAATTTTTGACAGCACTATAGTAACAAGTTTTGCAAGCAAAAAGTACCATTGGTGAGCTGTGACGTAGGCCATAGGCTAGGCGTAATCATGTGTGTGAGAAGCAGGAAGTGCTGTAAACAATTTCATTTTCCTCGTGAAGGAGATTTGTAGTATTTTATTTAAATTTATGAAGACAATTTTTAAAATCTAGCCTCAACTGTTGTGGGAAAATATG